AAAAAAAAAAAAAAAAAAGAAAAGAAAAGGTCAATGAACTGCTTTGTTTTCTTTTGTTTCTTTAACTTCATATAAAGACAGCTTTCAAACAATTAAAGCTGTTAAAAAATGGAGTAAATTGGCTTGGTGGTTACTGAGTCTCATGTCGGTAGAAACGTTGGAGCAAAGAATTTGGGGGGGGGGAGCATCAGTAGCATAGTCAGTTTTTATCTGACTATAAAAACGTCAAGGCCCCTGCCCCAAGCTGCTGTTTCCTGGGCTACCCAACACCCTGCGGAGGGCCCTGGGGCACACTGTCCCCTCTTCTGCAGGAAGTAGACAGAGAAGGCAACAATGGGGCAGCAGCTAAACTCTGAATACAGCAACATGGGGCAGGAGAGGATTTGGGCAGGCTGGGAATCATGGCTTGGTTTCTCAACTCCAGAAGTTTTCTAGTAGGGGATGCCTCTCAGGTTACCAGACCATTCCCAAAACCGCAGTCCCACCCGTGGCCCCACCAGGCCTCACCTCCTTAGATCTTCAGGTGGGGGCACCCCCCGGCGCAGGTTCACCCACTGTTGAAGCTGGTTCATGGAGCTCTTGCGCTGGGCAATTTTGTCAGGGTTGGCACGTGGCGGGAAGCTCTGCCGATGTCCCCCACTCTCTCCGTCCTGAGGTGGGAAAGCCGTGCTCCCCGGCCGGCTTGGGGAGCTGTACTGCCAGCCATTGGGCTGGGCAGGCTGCTCCCCACCCCCTGGGACCCTTGGGCCCTCAGGGTAAGGGCTGCCTGGCTCTGAGGCTGGTTCTGGTCCAGCTAGGATGCCGTTGGCTTTCACCAGTGGCTCTTTCTTGACTTCAGGCCTCTCGGGCCGCCTCTCTGCCTTCTCACAGCCTCGGCCATCACCCTCCCCTCGAGTCTTGGCCTCTGGCTCAGGCTTGGGGAGGCTGTTGTGGGGTGTCTGGTGGTGGTGTTTGCTGGGTGGGATATTCTCTGAGTCTGGCTTCTCATGGCTGTAGGGTACCAAGGGAGATGTTGTAAGTCACTCCAGTATCGAGGTGGGAAGGGTAGCAGGGGAAGGATAGGGAGGAAGGAATGATAGAACCAGGATTTTCTGAATTCCAATTCTGCTTTGTAAGTCCCACTGCTGTATCTTCTTGTTCCAGCCTGGGTAATTATACAATATAACCTACCCTACCCCCGCCACCTAGGCCTGCCATGCCCTTCTGCCCCCTGGGTCTTCTCTGCAGGTCATTCTCCATTCCAGTCTGCCAGCCTGCTTTGAGCTTTGAGCTCCACCTTCAAGCTACAGCCAAGACTAACCTCAGCTGGTCTTGGTTTCCTCCATAGTCTGTCCCTGATCCAGCTCCCTAATCCCCCAGCCCGAGTTTGTATTCTACTGAGGTTTCACAATGGTAACCACCCTCAATGCCCCAGGGACAAAAGCTTGGTACAGGTCAGCTCTGTCCTGTAGAAGTTAGTTGTTACTTAACTTCCATGATTCTTTAGCT